TTTAAAGGTAATGATTGTAAATTTGTAAGCTAAAGCTGTTTCATCCTTTAGTCCCCCATTCTTATGCATCTGTTTAAATAGTATGGGAAGATGTCGTGATCCTTCAATTTCTACAACTACATTTCTGTTTTCCCATTAATTAAATTAACCATAATAGGACTATGAAGGCAGAATGGTTTGTACAGTACTGGGGATAGTGGTTGTTGGGGAAAGTAGGGTAATGAGGTAATACAGATGTGCACATAATTTGTTCTTGTAAGCTAGAATTCTACAGGCACAACAATCAACTCCTTGCAGTTTCTTTATGCTACATTTGTTGGATGAACAAATCCTCTAAATCCGGGGCATTTAATATTATTTATAGAGCTTTGCAGTCTGTTTAAATAACTTTTTTTTTAGACATTTCTGCCGGTTTTATTTTCTGATTGAAGAAGAAGAAAGAATTGCTTAAGAATCCAGATTAAAATAATATTTTTAACACATGAGTAAAAAAAGAATATTATCTTTCTGTCTTTTGAGAAGTTCAGTTCAAGATCTTGTCACAAAACAATATATACTATTTCCCCTGTGCCTGTTCTATGATGTGATATTTACACAGAGCTGAAACTGAAATACCTACTGTAAACCCAGTTTCCCTGCTGGTGAGATGCAGTGCTTTATGATGTTGATTTGTGAACATACGTTTATTCTGGTGCTCATAGAGAATTGTTCACATCTGTCTGTCAAGGGTGCTCACTGTTAACACTTTTGATGGTTAAAGTACTAGAAGTATGCTTTTAAGGCTGTCTTCTATTAAATGTAATGCAGTTATAAGTCCCCACTGTGTTAGAGGTTGGTCATATAAGCCCTTTGGACTTGCTGTCAGTGGGAAGTTCCATGTCTGGCTCCATCAGGACCCAATGGTGACTTTGCCATATCAAACAGCAATACTTGCTTGCCTTCCATTTTCTTAATTAGATGAGAGATGTGGTCTTGAGGGAAGGCTCTAACAAAAGGGAATACAGGGCTGTGTTAGTCTCAGTGTACAGTGCATGTTTGCACCTAGAGTGGCACAGCAAGTGGGCAAGGTCTGCACAGAGGAGCTAGCCAGCTGGAAAGATTGAAGAGAAGTATGTGCCTTAAACAGGTGTGTGGATGTGGGGCATCTGCTTACTCAGAAGCAACATCCTGAACCCTCTTTTGGAAGCTGGACCTGTAGTCTTGCTTTCAAGCAGCGGAGTAAAGCACACTCATTATTAGAAATTGTGCCTGGTGAATTAGGAGAATGTCCTTTTATGCCAGCCTGCATCTACTGATGTAATTCAAGTATAAGCAAGGGCAAGAACTCAGGTCGTCTTCCTTCATGGAAGTGTGATGACCACCCTGGTATGATAGTAATCTCTTGTTCTGTCCTGTTCCTCTGTTTTTGGTCCTCTACATCTTCGTAGTGTCCTGTGGACAGGAATATAGCTTTGCCAGTGACAAAGGGTGGTTACCCCATATAGCTGTACCACCTTACTGTCAAGTGAAAGCTGAGTTATACCCGTTCCTGTTTTAAGCCCAAAAGGTGTTAAGGACCGAATCCTGCTTCACATTGTCTCCTGAGAATGTTTGCTGTTCAAAGCAAGTAAGCCAGGATCTTGCAGAGCTGTCTGTGTATACAGAACAGTCTTCACTGAACTAGCTCGTGCTGTTGATAGGTTGACCCTTAGACTTAGAAAGTTACAGCAGTGTCAGCCGCCCTTCCTTCCTTCAGCTGTGCCTCCTGTCTCCCTGCTGGTAGGAAAGTGGGGAGTTGTGCTCCATCTTGAGTTTAGGAGATAAGGAAGGAAGATTCCCTGTTGATACTTACCTTCATGTTTGTGGTCACAAATCTTGTTGAGTGGATTTTTACTTCTTTATGGAACAATTGCGAGCTCAAGATGTGAATATTTCCTCCTCTTTACAAGGGTAGCTGTCACACAAAGATTTTAAAATTTAAATTGGGATTGTTTCTCATACAAGTATCTGACAAAACAAGAGTGCTTCCATCCTTGGTGAACTTACCTCAGTGTTCATTCTTTTGGACAGGTGATTCCTCAGTAGATGTGTATGTCATGCATTCTGGGAACAGCCTTGTGCATATACAGGTAATTGTGGGCTTCAGGAAGTCATATTTTAGGGTGTTGAATTTGATTGGGGAATTAATTAGCCCACTGACTTACTCTCTAATAGGATATTGATTTTGCTGGTGGCAAATGTCATGCTTCTATATTTTTAAAATGTAGCCAAACGTCTAATAGATCTTTTAGATGTTAAGTTATAGTTCAGTGATGGATTTTTTTTAAGACATAAGAACTGTTAACTTGGATAAAAATCCATGGGTTGATTTAGAAGATATGAGAAAATGGCAGATACTGGGTTGCAAATTTAACAAGAAGGTAGACTGTTTACAGGAGATACAGTAATAATGGTAGTGCTGCTACAAGGATTATTGTGTCTTGTCTTCATGCAGGAAATACGGCAGTTGTCACAAAAAGACACATCACCTGTGGAATTTCAGCCAACACTGCTATCTTCATCATCTACTAACTTTACAAAAGTTGCTTCTATTTCTTGTAAAGGTACAGGATACATATACTTATAGATAATACAATTAAACAAGATTCGGTTATAAAAGGGTGACTTTTTTCAGCAGATAAGAGATTCTGAATGGTCTCAAAATCAAGTTATCTGGACTTTTTTGAGAAGGAGAATTAATTCTTTCTGCTAGTTGTTTACACCACTTTTGTGTGTATTGCGTCCTCTTATGCTGATCGAAGGCTCTAAGCTATGCATATTTCAAAAAGGGGAAGAAAACATTTGCTAAAATGTTAGCTGATTTTACAATAAGCATAATTATTGAATATGCTTTTTTCAACATCCTTTTGTAATTTGTGGTTATTCTTCTGTTTCCAATATACTTTCTAAAAGGCTATTGTGCTTGGGTGGTCATTTTCTATGACATTTCTTGGCAGGATCATTGAAGAGGCTTGCCTGAGACCAGGCATGTTTGTGGAAGAGCAAAGAGGAACGTTTAAGCATTCCTGACTCCAGCCAGTTTCCTATTCTGACCACTAGACTGCAGTGCATAGACTTTAAACATTTATGAAGCAGGCTGCTTTCATCATGACATTGGGACTTGTTTTTCCTAGCAAAAAAGGGCAAATAAGAAGAAAGAAGGGCCTATATGTTGTGATTTTTTTTTTTTTTTCTCAGAACAGTTTTTAATTTATTAAAAGGAGGCAGTGTGCATTGATGAGTAAGAATGCTGTGCCAGTGACACGTGGTCAGAACTGGTCAGGTTGCTCTTTGCAACCTTGTTGTGCGTGTGTTTTTTGAAAGTGTGTAGCATTCATAAATTCTTCTTAAACCAAGGTTTGGAACCTCTGAAAAATAGGACATAAGCAATTAGATGCTTTGTTCACGTGTGTGAGAATTGGACCAGCAAATGTTCCCCTTTGTAGTCTTCTTCCAAATCCTCCATGAAAATCATTGCAGATATGCTTTCTTTCTGACTGATTATATATTCTCTTGTATGTCTGTTCTTTGCCCAGCTACATCCTGTGACAGTGAAAGTCCTTATGCTGACAACAAGAAGAATAATTTATTGGAAGGCACTACAACACTAAAAGCCTGTTTTTCCTGTCCTTTGACGGAAGGGTAGGTTGATGGTGGATTTTTGTTTGTTAATGTTCACTGATATTATAAGAAGAATATTATACCCTTCCTTAAGAGATGAGATTGGCTTGCTTTGTCACTGAACGATTCCAAAGAGAGTGAAGAATCTTCTTCCTATTGTTGCTGCGTCATTTGACAAAACAGACCTGTGACATTTCAAGCAATAGTTCTGTATTTTATCCAGGAAGAATTTAGGAGCTGGTAAAAAATATGCTTTAGCAACTCATATCATATAAATGTTGCTTAGAGTCTGTGATAAAATTTCCACCGTTGTTGTTAATCCAATGCAGAAGCAGGATAGTTACAGATAAAAATGTGAAGTCTTCTCTTCAGCCTTCTTTTGCTGATTTCATCCGAACTACCATATCATAAAGCAGTAGGCAATGTTACACTATAGCAGAGCAAGAGGGTATTATTTTCCAAAGGAAATCATAGAATCATAGAATCAAATAATTTTGTTCTTCCTCCTTAAAACCTTAAAAGAGCCTCAAGAATGCTCCAGTTACCTTCTCTTGTGTGGACCGCTTATGTGTGCTCAAGGACAGTTGCAGATGTATTTATTTTTCTTCTGTATTTACTTACAGGTATTTTGATGTAGATCCTTCTGCAGCATTGTTTCATATAGAACCACATCATAATACTTCAGGATTTTGGTCCATATGGTTTACAAACAATTTTGACTTCAGCATTGAACTGAATGAAGTCTTCATAGCCAGAGAAACTAATGTTTTGAAGGTAATGTTTTGTCTTTGCTTTAAGGATATGGTCCTTTGACATACAAAATAGATCATTTGAAGAACTCGATGTTCTCAGAACTGGTTGCAATCGGTTAAAAATAAAGTTATATGTACACCTGTAACTGTTAGATCCCGAAGAGCTTACTCTCTCAATAGGCATTATTCACTGTCTGGCTTGTTTTTGTATTGTTTTATTAGCAACTGTTCTTTCATTTGAGTTGCAGCTACAGATGCATCAAATTATAGACCGTTGCTCCGTTCTCCCGTTCTCAGAGTTGTTGCATGTGTATTTGTGCTCTATAGGATTCAGCATTTCTTCATAGGCTGTAATGGAAGTCTTTAGTACATAGCTGAGCTTTGAAATTTAGAAGGCAAAGCCGATAATTTACTCGTGCAATTGCTTGATTCAAACCAGACAAATCTGGTTTATGAATAAGCACATGATGTAGGCATCTAATTGGCTCTTCGTATATTTAGATAGGAGATTTACATATGTGCACTGTATGGATCAGTTATGGGCACATATGTGTATATAATAACAGCAAAAACACAAAGGAACAGAAAGTTTACATTCTTAAAAGTACTACTTACACCAAAAATACTGTACCAGTTTTAATTCAGTTGTCCTTTGATTCTTTCTAGATTCTGGACTTTGCCAAACCTTTGACTCTACCTCCAGGCTGCTGGAATGTATTTTCTTTGAAGCTCAGTGTGAAAGACACTGTAACAAATGTGCTTTCTAGTATTTGTTTGGCCACGAATGTGGGAGTAATGTTTGAAATACCTCTGCAGATATATTCGACTGTGTCCAAGGTATCGTATTCAGCTGTGTTGAATGATTATTATGCACTGCAAACCAAACTGCAGCAGCCTCTTTCTTAGGCCAGAAATCAGTCTCTTGGTCCTAAAAGAAAAGCCTCAGTACCAGACCACTCTGTGAAACCGTTCTGTAGCTTGAGAATTTAAGCCCCCAGACTTGAACAGTGATGGAATTACAGTTCTCTAGGCAACCTTAATTCTCTTGTCTCCTCCAAATTATGCACTGAGAAGCTGGAATTTGTCGTGTTGTTTTGTCACATGCTCAGTTGTACTTTTAGTTTTGTTTCTTCCAGCAGGGAGATCTTCGTTTTGAAGCAAGTGCCCACTGTGATGTTCAGTGTTACTTGGGAAAATCTGATTCAGGTAGGCTCATCTTGGGGTTTTTTTAGGCATCTGACAGTAGTTTTATTGTAGAAATTTAATTTTATGTAGCAGGACTTGTAATGAGAATATTGAGATTGTTCATGCAAGTACTTAGTTTTATGTCTTTTTAAAACATCTACTTTTCTGGAAGTATGTAAATCGCTTTGAGTGACCCGTACTGAGTGCACTATGCAGTACTTCAGATGCTATAGTATGTGTTAAACTATTGTTCTGTCTTAAAACTCTTTTTTGGACTTAATATTTAAGATTCTCCTATAAGTTCTTATTGGTGGTGAACTGCTCCTTTACTTTTTTCATATACATGTTCACCAGAGATGTTGAGGTAGAATTATAAAGCTATCAACTAGTTCAAAGTTATTAGAAAATGTGCATGATCAGGGTCAAGATCCTGGGAAGTCTTTGATGAAAAACAAAAAACAAATGTTGACCAATATCCTGCCTTTAACCAGAGTTAAATCTGAAGGCCTTCTCTTTATCTGTTTCTCACAACAATAATTTCATAGATCTCTGCAAAAGACTGTTTATCAAGCTTATAAAACAGCATTCATTAATGCTGTATCATGTGAAACAGAAAGAAGGGGTCTAATTTTTTCTGGAACTGAGGAATCTTTCTCCAGATACTGTACTTCTCGGAGCTGGCATTTACCTGGCTGGCATTTACCAAAATACAGTGTTAGGTATTACATGGACATGATACTGCCTGAAGCATGTTGAATATGATGATTCAGATAGTGGGGTTATTTTTGTCTCTGCTCAGTAAGGAATTTCAGTAGGGAGCTGAGTACTATGGGCTTCAAATATTTAAGTGAGTGCTCTCCTGAATCTGTTCTCAAGATGATGGCTTTCCTAAAATGTATTTTTGTATGATAGAAGGCAAGAGTACTCAGTCAAATGTAAAAAGGAGAATTAAGGTGACATATGGAAACACATGTCTTGAAGAATTACTGATACATATGCACACTTAGGTACATATCTTAGAAGCAAGTGGGTTTTTAAAAAAAAAAAAAAATCTATATAAAGGAATATTGCTGTTACAAGTGAGTCCTTGCTGCTTACTTCCTTTCCATTCTAATAATACACAGATATTCTGCCTTCTAATTTAGGATACTGGTATTTGTTAAATTTGAAAGTCTAACGCCCAAGCCTGAAAATACTGACCTAAGGAACTTGTAGCTGGATTATTCCAGTCATCATCAATCTCAATTGGTTACTTTAATCACTAAGAATTGTAAAATAAAGTATGTGTACTTTCAAAATAAACCATTTTTGTTTTCTTTCAAAATAAATTTGCTTTTATAACTCCTTCCTGTTATGTGAGAATGCTTGAACCAATATGAGTCTAACTTTCTAAAAGGCATTAATCTTTAAACTGATGTAAAGCCTTGCAATTTTATCTTAAGAAGAATCTGAGAAAATTATCAGCACATTGAAAAGAGAAGCTAAAATGAAAACATCATTTCTGCCAAGCTGTGGGATTTGTTTTGCTCCCTGTTGTGCTGTGATACTACAATTTTCTACCACTATGTAGAGAATAGTATATGATCTTGATACTTTATTGGCATCAGTGCAGAGTTCTGTGTAAAAACTACTGATAACATAATGACTTTTCATTGGCATCCATTAGAAATAGCAACAGTCAAAAAGGGCTTACTAGAGCATAAAAAGCCTGTGCAATACCCATACTCTTGTCTGCATTTAGAATTACTGTGTTTTTGCAGGTGTATTTCTTTGAGCAAATCAGATACAGACAATAAAACATATACCCTCACATATGCTTGCTTTGAAGGAGAAAATTGGGTTGCCTTTTTATTTTTGTGTCAGGACACTTTACAGATACTGATTATTCGTGTTCAGAAGTAGATTGATGGAAGAAGTGTATGTTAGCTCTGTAAAATATGAAAAATCTGTTATCATTTTAGCAAATCTGCTTTGGCAGAAGAGTCTCTCTCTGGACCGTTCTGCCTGGGACGTGGATTCTGAGCTTGCAAATGAACTTTATGAAAGATGGCAACAAATAATACGTGGGGAAGCCTGCAGGTCTGTACAAAATCTGTTGAAGTTCTTAATTCAAGCCAGTACAGTGCTGTGAGAAAGAAATTTCTGTTCTGAAGTATTCTTGATTTGAACAAACATTTTTGACCTTCCTGTGCTTAAGTTAGTAATTTTGGAGCACCTGGAGTTTCAGAGGACCCCAGACACCCCCAGCTTCCATTTCAAGGCACTGACAGCCATAAGTAAATGTTTCAGATGTCCGAACTTGAGAATGCAAATAATATTCTGGTTATAATAACCTGACCACAGCTACCCAGTGTGAAAGCAAGTCAAAGCATGTTTTACCAGATCATTTATGGAGTTGCATGAGTCCTTCGTGAACAGGTCACATAGCAATATTTTCAGGATGAGGTTCTTTGAATAGCTTTTAAGGTTTTTAGTCCTTGGCCAGATGGATGCTGCATACTGGGGACATGGGGAAGGAAGCAGTCACTGTGACTGAGCAGTTCTTGTAGAGATGGTGCATCAATGACATCAGTCCCTTTCCAGAATAAGGAGGTGGAGCTGTGAAAACCACAGTGGTATTGCAGGTTGAAAAGTGGAGACTGAATGGGTGCCTATAAGTTGCACTGACTCTCTACTACTCAGTTACAGCTTTGTGGGCTTTGTTTTGTGGAGAACATTTTCAAGGAAAGATTAATTAACACACTTATAGGTCCTGGCAAATCATCATATATATTTTTTGTTCTTTTTTGAAAGAAAAAAGAAAATAAAATTAACAAAGCTTTCTGGTTTTGCCAATAAAGCAGGAGAAGTATTTTAGGATCAGCTCGCTTTATTCACCAGAAGAAGCCTGAAGAGGAGTCCTTTGCCTTTTTCTTGCCACGGTTGACTACAGAGCCTGGCCTAACGCTCAACTTCAGTGCCACAGCAGTTAAAAGTAGTATGGTGAGGGTGGTTGTTATGCTTTTTGTGAGTTGATGTATGTTTAGCTTGCTTAAATAACAAAGTCTGCAGTTAATATTTGGTGATGCTTAGCATTTTCATACTGCTTGTGATCAGTGTTTTGGAGTCTGATTTAAGACACCAGATTTGTATCCCTTTGGCTATTTGATAAGTTCTCTAGCTACCTACTTGTAATATTTTAATATAAGGAGAGGAGTAAAGCAGTGTAGGTCTTAACTAACAGTTGTTCGTGGTTGTTAAAGCTTTCCTTGCATCGTTGTGTGAGTTACATGCTTGTGGTAAAATAATTGAACAAGGGACTAGGGATAGGAGGTACTGTCATTAATGGTGCACGTGGTTATGGGATGGCCTTCCTCATGCCACTGCCTTATATAACAGAATCGTGCAAAACATTTGCGAGAGATACAGCGCTTGAGAGATCAGCAGAGCAATGTGTCTTCAACCACACTGACCAATGTTTCTTTCTCGTTTGTCAGATTTAGGTCACTACTAACCTAGCCTGGGCCAGAACCAGTCATATGGACATAGTTTTTATATGCACATATTGTGAATTACCTTAATATTCCATTTGTGCCATTTAATTGTCAGTCATTATAGTAATGTGCATAATCTGCTTGCATTCACACTTCTGTAAGAAAGGGTGGCACCTGACTAACTTCACCTTCTTCTGTGGAAGAGCTTTGTTCATGTCTGCCTGCATAAATCAAAATCCAAATGAAAGGCTTGTTTGGGGGTGGGGGAGGTCTGTATTTTTGCACATGCGGTTCTTCATGCACCCTTAGGTGTTTTTGCAAATGCTGACATTGTGGTGACACGTCCTGCTGTTCCATGCAGTTTTGTGCACATATTATTATATTGCATTAAGACAGAAGCCAGATTGAAGTTCCTTGAAAATGCAGATCATATTACCAGTGCTAAATTATTTTACCTTCCAGTTCTCAAGTACGTATTTTTTAACTTTTTCTTTTCCCCTTCCGAACTATATAGGTAAAATATTTCATACTAAGAAACCCTTCGTCCTTCCCAGTTATGTTGCAGCTTCTGCCTCTTTCTTACTACCCTGATCCTCAAGCTTCACTGAGTCTGCTCAACAAATGGTAATGAGTATAACTATCTCAGGATGCTATTTTCCCTTTCAGAAGATCTATTTGCCATGCCTTATGATTGTTGCTTATTGTTTGTTTTAATTTTCCAAAGTGTAACTTAGGTGGGGACAATGTTCTGACCCATTTTGGAAGATACAGTCATGTTCAGATCAGCTTCCTGTATGATGCATAACTTTGTAATGTACCTGATCATTGATAAAACCAAATTTGGCATGTTTTCAGCATTAGTTACATCTTTTAAGATCTGAGGCTTAGTGAAAGCTTGTGCAAGCTGCCAAGGTGAGGGAAGTAACTCACAGAACTGGGCATGTGCATCTCCCCTGCAGGGCTGGTTGGGAAGTATACAGAGTCTGTAGACTGATCAGTGAGGAGGAAGGTAACTGAACCTTCCCACTAGAAAAAGTTCTCTTCTTAGCGTTTTCTTAGGAAAAAGCCATGGTTGGAGAAGAGGAAACAGGAGCCAGGAAGAAAAACTGAGGTGCAGAGCCAGGAATCCCACTGTAAATATTTAGAGCCAGCTAAGCAACTGTTTCTACATGGTTTTGAACTTTCTGTTTTAGAACTGAGAAGATCTAATGAGAAATCTAGATAAGAGTTAGGTGAACCAGTATAAAAGGGCATGGTGAGGCGGGCTGAAGTTCACCAAAATAAACCCTGGCTGTCACACTTAACTTTGAAAAACTGTGTAGGTGGTAGGACTATTTGCTTGATTGGAGCAAGTGGGACTACTCACATGCTTAACTGTAACTTGCTTATTTGGGTCCAAATCCTCATGTAATTGCTTTTTTAACCTAATTTCTTTACATACATACGTGTATGTGCATATATATATATATATATGTGTGTGTGTGTGTATATATATGCACATTAATATCTACAGCTGTTTGCCTACTAAATATAATATAGTATATAATATAAATATAATACTAGATTTCCACATAGACTTTTTCTAGTGGTTTGAAATAACATTTTCTCTTTATTTGCACACTTCTGTTTCACAGACCTTCTAGGTTTCACAGATCTACTAGAAATCATGTCCACTATCTGGTTCTTTTTAAGCGAATATCATAGAAAGTTGTGACAAGTGAATTTCCAATTCAGTGGCTGGAGGTCCCTTAGTCCTCTATAATATAAATTTTACCTATTGGTTTTCAGATGTTTTGTATCTAATACCTTAATGTCAAATGCTTATAATTTACTCTTAGGCAAATAAGCAACTGTTGTAAGTTAATTAAATTTGCAAAGTATGTGAAAGAAAATAGGAATTTGTCCCAAACAAATAAGGAGCAGAAAGAGAGATATTTGAGTAAGTTAATGAGATTTGATAGTGATTATTTCTTAACTGTTATGTGGGCAGAAAAAGCTTTGGGGCATTTGTGTTTGTGTGGCTTAGAAATTGTGTTTCTTGATTGTGATCTTTTGCAATATTGTATGCCGAGAGATCTGAAATGCCAAGGCATTTGTCTGTTTTCCAAATGTGTGGAATCCACATAAAACTGATTTGTAGTGTATTCTGTTAAAACACGGCTCCACGTTTCCACCGTATTTCACATCTGCCAAAATGCAATTGTAAAAGTATTCTTTATTTAAGAATAAATGCCAGCATGTAAAAATAAGTCAGTGTAGTTCTGACAGACTAGGCTTGAAGTGTTTAATTTTTTGTTTTGGTTTATTTAGGTTTGGCATAAATGTGCAAGCTATTAATTTCACAACCACTGAATTCAGGCTCATGGATGAATGTTCTCACAGGGTAAGATGGCTAATTTTGATAAAAGAAGTAGTCTGACACACTAGAAGAAGCTTTTTCTAGCTACACTACATTGGAGTTGTTCCCAAGTACTATTTAAAGCAATTATTAGTGTTTTCTTGATTCTCTGTCAGACTTGTATCTTTGCAGTTAATTTTTTTTTTTTCAGAGTTTGAGTCTGTTTT